TGTCTGCCATCCATGAAATCCTTTTGCACGCAACACACCTCCTCTGCCAGACCTCGGGGGGGGGGGGGGGGGTATGGACAGGTGTAATTGGTGAGGGTGGTTCCACAAATAATCTTGCTCTTTGAAGGGCTTTAAAGGAGTGGTTTGGTGGCCTAGAGGTGGAGTTCTTGCCTCCCAATCAGGGGGCTGTGAGTTCGATTCTAGATAGAAGCAATTATTTCTCTCTCTCGGCACAATGAGACTATATCTGCTGAAAAAACCCTCTGGATTGGCAACAGGAAGGGCATCCGGTCAGTAAATACTCATCTCCATTCAGTTCAGTGGTGGGTTGCAGGTGGTACTCCCTGGTATGGGCGTACCAGAGCCTGCCCGGAGCACCGGATACCGTTCCGGTATGGTGCTTCGGAGGGCCCACCCACCTGCCTGAGCTCCTTACTGGTCTTTTAAGTCTTTGGCGCTTCCGGCACAGTGTGTACAGCGCCTGCACGACACTCCGCTGAGCAGCTGGAGCGTTGTGGAGGCTTGTGATTCAGTTGCCCCGACTTCACCACGCAGGGGATTATGGGGGTCATTAAATGAAGATGAAGGACTTTAAAGGCCAAAACCGGCCCTTTGAATTGAACGCAGGCACAACCAGTGCCACAAAAACAAAAGCTGTGCCGTCTAGAGCCTCTGCCCCACTGCATTTTGCAGCTGATACTCTTCCAACAGTCTTCCAAGATTTGGCAGGCTGCCCCAGAGAAGAGGGGGGTCAACCTATTCTCCAAAGCACCTGAAGGCAGGACAAGAAGTAACGGATGGAAGATGATCCAACCTAGAACTAAGGACAAATTTCCTAACCGTGAGAACCGTCAGTCAGTGGAAGGGCTTCCCTCCAGGGGTGGTGGGTGCTCCATCCCTGCAGGTTTCCAAGAGGAGACCGGACAGGGTATCAAGGAAAGAAAAGCTAAGGATCGGTGGAGGAAAGCCAAGGGGGCCAAGCGGAGTCCAGGCCAAGCGGTCGGCATGGGTTATGGATATGGGGGTCCATGATGTGCCTGGCCAGGCAAGGCTGCATAAGTTGCAGCTTGCTTTTCTCTCTATTCAGTTTTCAGTATCAGCCAAATCCCATCGGAGCAGCAGGAAGTTTTACTTCAGCATTGCTGATTGGTTTGCAAGCTTATGTGGGACAGGTTGCCCCCCCAGGCAAAGACCCATTTTTTCCTCCAGACCTTTGTTCCTTAAGCAAGAAATCTATCCTGATCTGAGCCTAACAGAGGCATGTTTCCTGCATCTATGCCCTTTCTGTGCTGGTCATTATATGGAAACTCATCAAGGAGAGAAGCAACTTGGAACTAAGGAGAAATTTCCTGACAGTGAGAACAATTAATCAGTGGAACAACTTGCCTCCAGAAGTTGTGAATGCTCCAACACTGTTATTCTGTTAAAAGAATGTCTACTATTCCATTTTAGGTTTAACACTAACTTTACTCTGGGTAGAAACCAAATGGCAGCTATCTTCAGTAGCCACTGGAGATATTTAATCCATGCTAACCATTATAGCCCCTTTAGCTACCAGACAAATCCTTCATTAGTCCTCATCTTTTCCCCAGAATTGATACTTTTTTTTGCTGGAGGTAGACATCTGAAGTCCACACGCAGCTCTCTTTTCCTATAAAAATCTAAGCTAACCCCCATCTCTGAGTTCATTTATTAAAAAAAGTGAGAACTAACTGTTCAGCGTGGGTTTCTGCATGGAAGCCTTGATCTGTGAAGAACCAGGGAGATTCTGTGGTGGAGACTGGACTTATTATCATTGTTGTCAAAATGAGAAGGGAAAGGAAGAAGATTGAAAGCTGCTTGGTGAGGATGGCAAGATGCCAAGAGGTTGTGAAGAAGCTAGAACACAGCATAACAGGGTTGGAAGGGCCCTTGGAGGTCTTCTATTTCACCGCTCACAGCTCAAACAGGAGATCCTAGGCCATTCTGGGCAAGTGGCTGTCCAGTCTCTTCTTGAGAACCTCCTCCAGTGATGGAGAATCCACAACTTGTAAAGGCAAGCCATTCCACTGACCAATGGTTCTCACTGACATGAAGTTTCTCTGTAGTTCTAGGTTGGATTTCTCTTGAACAATCTTGCACTCTGAGGGACTTTGGCTCAATCTCCTTTTTTCTCTGACAGCCCCTCAAATGCTGGGAGATTGCTGTCATGTCACCTCTAACGCTTCCCTTGGTTAGACGAGACCTATCCAGTCCCTGCAACTGTTCATTGTATGTTTTAACCTCCAGTCTCCTAGTCCTCTTTGTTCTCCCTTCTCTGCATTCTTTCTATAGCGTCAGCATTTATTTATTTTTTGCTGTGACTAGAACTGTTCGCATTACTGTCTTCCAATTGCGGCCTTACCAGTGCAGTATAAAGTGTTACAACACCTGGCCACCTGTTCTATCCGGGACGTTTTTCCCCCTCCCTGAGGCTTTTCAAGTGGAGCAGCCCTTTTTTCAACTCCTGTCACTTTCTCTTCCAATTGGGAGATGAGTTTGCACCGGTGTAAAATCCTTACCTGCTCCCCTTGTTTACTGGCTCACTGCTGGTGTGGCCACCCTTCCCTGAGTTCATGACCCAGTCAGCAAAGGAGAGAAGATGACAGGTTTGACCTCCCTCTTCTGTGCTCTCATCAGAACATTGACCTAAGTCAATGGAGCTTCCTAATCCACCAGGAGCCATGAGCCTGCAAGGGTTACCCGGCCAGGCCCTTCCTGCCCTGGCTTCCCTTCCTCTGCTTCCTCTTCAAAGCCAAGTCCCCCCCCCCCAGGTCCTTTGGATGACGGCAGTTGTTTTCCTTCTCCCACAGGTGTGTGGGCCCAAGCCCTGGGGGAAATGGCTGGCGTCCAGGTGCCCCTGGTGGCCATGCACCATGCCTATGTGGTGACAGAGAAGATCGAGGGGATTCAGGTCAGTTCTTGGGGGCGGGGGTTGCACTCTCAGAGTTTCTGTCCTGGTGGGCAGATCAAACATCCAGGTTCTGCCACTAGAGGTCCCTCCAAGGCTGGTTAAGGATACCCCCACAAAAAGGCATGTGTGTGTGTGTGAAGGGCAGAGAGGGGCGAGCATTCCTAGCCCTGTGGCCTTGGGGGATCATGGGCGGAAGATCGACACAGGAGCTCACCCTCCACTGGGGAAGCTCTGCAAGGCCCCACAGCCCCACTTCCAGACCGTTCCCTCTTATGAGGGCTGTTTGCAGTGAAATTCAGGGGTGAGACAAACAAGATTTTACACTTGGGCAAGGCAAACCAAATGCACAGGTAGATAATAGGGGGTACCTGGTTCAGTCGCAGCAACTGCCAGAGGGATTTAGGAGTTCCAGTCCACTTAAATATCCGCCAGAGTGTGCTGTAGCCATCAAAAAAAAAAAAGTCCAGTGAAGTCCTAGGCTGCATTAACAGGGGAATAGAATAAAGATCATGCAAAGTGTTAGTATTGCTTTATACCGCACTGATAAAACCACACTTGGAATATTGTGTCCAGTTTTGGGTGCTGCAATACAGACTCTGGGAAGAGGGCAGAGGAGAGCAACAAAGATAAGAAAGGGGCTGGAGGCTAAAACATAGGAAAACCGGTTGTAGGAGTTGCGTGTTTCTACTCTAGTGAAAAGAAGGACCAGGGGAGACAGTAAATATTTGAAGAGCTGCCACAAGGAAGAGGGAGTCAAGCTTTTCTCCAAAGCACTTGAAGGCAGGGGAAGAAGCAATGGGTGGAAACCAATCAAGAGAGGGACTCTCGCTTGGGCCACTGTTTAAACTTGCCAGACATATTTTGGGAGTTGGACATTCCTGGGAGAGAGATGGAAAAGCAGCCATCTTGCCCAGTGCTGAAAAAAGGGAGACCCTGAAACAGGTTATCAGTTGAAGGCCAGGAATGTCAAATGTGGAGGCGCTGGAGGGCTGTGGAGCACCTTCCCCAGCCTTGCCCTTCAGGGTCATCGCCCTGTGGCTCCCACAGTCCCCGGAGAGGATCCTGGCAGCCATTCTGCAGAGGGAGCCCCCCCCCCAGCCTTTGGAAGGCAACAGCATTCGTGCTTCTGGAGAGGGGTCCCTTCTTTCACAGCCATTCCGGAGGAGAGGTTAGAAGGGAAGAAGCCTCAGGGAAGCTCCTGCCTCAGTGGAGGCCACAGGATGGGAGACGGTGAGCCAAACGTGGAAGGGATCTTCTGGGCGACCTGAGATTAGTGGGTCTCTCGGTCTGCAGCCAGCAAGAGGCCGCTCTGCCTTTACCCCCAGGCGCCCTTCACCTCTGGCTTCCTGGGAGTGAGGCGTGGGACAGGAGGCGACCGAGGGAGCTCCCTTCCCAGCGAAAATGCTGACCCGGGAGCCTTTTTGAGGCTGAGCACTGATTTTCTCTGGGTTCTATTTTTAGAACATGCCGAATGTTCGAGACCACGATGCCTCCGTGTATTTGCGTCTCCAAGGTGATGCCCTTTCTGTGGGTGGCTATGAGTCAAACCCCGTCTTCTGCGAGGAGGTGTGTTGCGTTTTGAAGGAATTGGAAGGAGGAAGAGCTAACGCTGCAGAAGCTGCCTGGGGGCTGTGTTGGTGGGGCTGGGTGCTAAACCAGGTGTTCAAAAATTCACCAAGATATTTAAGATTTACCCTCTGGTTTTGAAAGCTTTGATCCCTGGCAAGCAGAGGTGCAAAGAGGGTCTCATCTAGACAGCTGCTGGGTGGACCCCTTTGCCTTTATTCATTTGCAGTATATAAATTTAGAGCATAAGAATTAAAATTATATTCTTTTGGAGGGAGGCAAAAATAAATAAGCCCTGTTAAAAATCAACTGAAAAGGTGAAGGGAGGGCTTTCAGGGGATTAAGTGGCCCCTCGGCCCCCTGCTTATCCCCCCGCCCCAAGCAAGGCCAACAGTGGGTGGGGGGTGGGGGTCCACCTCACCTCAGGAGGGCGGATATTGTAAGGACTGGGGGGTAATGGCAGAGAAGGCTCTCCCCGGGCCTTCATAACCGTCCCTTCCCTGCCTGACCGGGTGGGAGGGGCTGATGTAACGGGACGAAATCTGTTCCGCAGGTAGCCTGGCCCTGTAGGGCTTTATAGGTCCAATTCCAACACCTGAACCCCCAAGCAGACTGGCACCCAGTGCAGCTCATGCAACAGAGGTGTTACGTGTGCCATTCTTTGGGTGCCAAAAATTGTTCACCTGCCCCCCTTTTTTAACAGCTGAAGTTTCTGGGCACTTTGCAAGGAAAGCCCCATGTAGAGCATGTAGCAGTAGTCCAAACAGGAGATGGCCAGAGCAGGAGTGAAGGAAAAGAGAGCCTTCTTATCCAGGAAAGGGCGTAAGTGGCACACAAGGCAGAGGTTTGGCTCCTTCACCTCCTCTTCTGTCCCAAAGGTTTGGAAGAGCTCAGGTTGGGGAACATGAACTGCATTGGGTGGTGTCACGGTGGCTCCAGGTATGTTCCTGTCATGTGCCAGAAAGAACATGGATGTCGGAGTTCCAAAAAGCATCCAAAAATAAATCAGAGTTCAAGGCAAAGTGTTCCTCAAAGTTCCAATTTATGAAGAGAGCCATGTTGGCACATCTGGGAAAACCCGAATCTGAAAGCTTCCCTGTTTTCCCCACCCAGTTGAAAGTTCAAGATCCTCCCCCCACACCCACAAACCCATCACATGGTCCAATCTCCCTCTGCCATGCTGACAGTTCCTCCCATCCAGTTCTGGTCAGGTGCAGAGGAACAAAGAAAAAGGATGACCTTGGCTTTCTAGGAAGAATTTTGTTATGGCTACATATCATCTAACTCCATACAATCCTCCCTCCCATTTTCTCACAATAGAAAATGCATAGTAGAATTAGAGAAGTGTGGCAGGCCAAAGATCTAAAAGAAAAGATGGCTGCAGGCCTCACAATGGGTGGCACAACAATAGCAATAGCCATTAGACTTGTACACAGCTTCATAGTGCTTCACAGCCCTCTCTAAGTCAGCCTCTTACCCCCAACGATCTGGGTCCTCATTTTACCCACCTCAGAAGGACAAAAGGCTGAGTCAACCTTTGAGCTGATGAAATTTGAATGGCCAAATTGCAGGCAGCCAGCAGTCAGCAGAAGTCGCCTGCAGTTCTGCACTCTAAGCACTGTGCTGCCCCAGCTCAATCTACCTTTGCTTGCAGTCCTGGCCCACCTTCCTTGCCTCCCTTCCCTAAGATGACGGGCAGCCTTGGCCTGCCATTCAGTGACAATGAAGTGTGGTGACTTGGCCCTGATTTAGAAGACATAGGATAGCTTCTTGCATGAATATTAATGGTGAAAGGTTGATTTAATCACAGAGGAACAGGCCATTGCTTTATCGGATTGATCAGAGCGGCCAGGTTTAATCAGTGAAGCAGAGCCTCCAGCGTTCTCTCCTGTCCTGAAGCTCCGGGCTGACGGCTGAGGGCAAACTGACGAAGGCAAAGCAAGTGAGGAAATCTGCACCGATTGCATAAGAACTGCTGTCCGTACGGAGCCTTTTCCCAGTCTAGGAAACAGGCCTCGATTCTCAGCATCTGGGTCTGCAAAGAGTCTGGGAGAAGGGTGGACATTCAGGATCCTAGGAAGAGCTGATATGGGGCCATACTTGGAATACTACTGCGTCCAGTTCTGGTCACCATGATACCAAAGAGAAGCCAAGACTCTGGAGAGACTTGCTCAAGAAGAGCAAGAAAGAGGGTTAAGGGGGCTGGAGGCTAAATCATATGAGGGAATTAGACGTGTCTAGCATGTCAAAGGGAAGGATTGGGGGAGGACATGATAATGGTCTTCCAATATTGAGGCGCTGTCACAGAGATGAGGACGTTGACTTGTTCCCCAAAGCCCCCGAGGGCGAAACAAGAAGTAATGGGTGGGAGCTTCTTAAAGAAAGATCCAACCTAGAACTAAGGAAAAAAATTCTGACATTGAGAGCAATTAATCAATATGACACTTTGCCTCTCAAAGTTGTGAGTTCTCCATCACTGGAGGTTTTTAAGTAGAGGTTAGAGAGCAATGGGACAAATGTATCTGAGTTGGTACAAGGACTCCTGCCTTTGGCAGCAGGTTGGACTAGAAGACCTCCAAGGTCCCTCCCAGCCCTCTGTCAGGGTTCCAAATAACATACTGTACCTGTAGCAAACAAAACTCTTGAGGCAGGCAGGTTCCTCAAAATATAGGTTTGTTGCAGGGGTGGGTTTCTCGCCCCGTTCCAACCGGTTCGGTTGGAACGGGGCTGGCGGCGTCCTCGTGCACGCGCGCGGTGCACGCATGCGTACTAGCGTCTGCGTGACGCTCCAGCTGCTCCTGGATGATCGCGCAGGCGCTGTATGCGTCCTGTGCATGCGTGGAAGCACAGAACTCGTCAAAACTGGGTAAGGAATGCGGCCGGATGGGTGGGCCCTTCGCTGTTCCCGGAAGTTACTTACTTCCGGGTTCGGCGACCAACCGGTTCGCAGGGACCGCCGCGAACCGGTTGAAACTCACCCCTGCATTTTTTGAACCCTACCACTGACAGAACATAAATGTATATTGGTTTCTAATAGGGGGAATATACAAGCTTACCTAATGGACAATTGATGTGATTATCTGAAGAGGCTCACCAGCTTTAATGTACAGAACAAATAGAAGGTATTGCTATGACAATATCAACCGACACTATAACTCTTTCATCAGGCGAGGCCTCCTTATCGCTTCCTATAACACTGTTTCACTATTCCTGAATTGTCCCAGGCCTTCATGTCACCCCTTTCTCTGTGTTTAAGAAAGAAAACTACATCTCCATTGTTCTGTCTTCATCTTAGCTAAATTTCTATTGCTGTATACTAGGTCTTCCTGCTTGAAAAAAAAAAATCTCTCCCCCCCAAAAAAAGTCATGTTTTTCCCAGGTCAGTCT